AGTTTTACAATATAAAATAGTATAGACTTATTTCAATTATTTTTATTTAAATTGAACTTATTTTGTATATAAAATTTGGATTCTCATATGAAAGATTTCTATGTGTAAATTTTCATTTATTATTTTTTCTTACTTCAAATGAAATTTCTTCCCATGTATTTCCTTTATGTCATCTTATTCTATATAAAATAATTTTTTTCCTGAGTAGTTCTGAGGGTAATGCACTTCCATATGCAAGAACCCTAAGTGTGATTCACTTCCATATGGGTAAGCCCTTTCCCCTCTCTTTCTCCCTTGGCCAAAAACCCCACCACACAAATCTTCCCACTCTTTTTCTCTAGGCTGAAAGCCTCGCCATCCAAATCCATCACTCCTTTTCTTTTCTTCATTTCCACATGCCAAAATTTAATCCTAGCCACGTACACTCCCCCTCATTTCCCTTAAGTTGAAACCTAACCCTAGCCACCTACATTCCCCCTCATTTCCCCATCATTTTCCCTAGGTCAAAACCTAACCCTAGCCACCTACACTTCCCCTCATTTCCCCTTGGTCAAACCAAACATCCTAACCCAATCCCCTCTTTTTATTTCCTACCTTGATCGGAACCCTTGCCCCACCGTCTCTTCCCTCCCTCCATCCCATGGCCCAAAATTTTAACCTTAACTCACTTCTCCCTTTTCCTCTCTCTCTTAGTTGAAACCCATCCATCTTCCCCTTTCTCCATCTCTTCTTCTCTAGATCAAAAACATACACACTCACGATCCCTCTCTCTTTCTCACCATAGCTAAATCTTATGACAAAAACTTTCTTTATATGTGTAATTTTTAGGTATACACTTCTCCTTGTGTAGCTTGCACATATAATCTTTATATGTAATTTTTCCTATGTGTAGTTTATTTTCATATGTAGGCTTTTCATGCGTAGTTTATTTCTATCTATAGCATTTCAATGCATATTTCCTTCGTATGTGCTTTCTTTTTGCATGTATAAATCCTCCATATGTTTAGTCTTCATCACACATAGTTTATCTCTATCTGTAGGTTTCATTTGTTTTCATATGAAGGTTTCATATTTATATTTTTAGTTCTTTTTAAAAAAACTCAGAGTTGCGAGTTGTGTATATATATGTCATCGTCATATGATTCATCTTTCCAAATAAATCTTCATCTCAGATCGTATAAAATAATCTGAAGAGGAGAGGATTCAGAAGAGACAACATATACGACAAAAATAAACAAAAAATATTTAAAAGAAACATAGAAGGCTTATGTGTAAAGCAACCCTCGTGTGATAGGTTGAAAGCATATGTCCAAACATGATCGGATCAAAACACCTACACAATATCCACAAAGAAAATTCTTACATAAGCTACCCATAATCAGAGATCCAAAAATAACTTTTTGTTCTGGGGTCAAGAACACTCTCAAAAGAACGTATCCCTTTTAATTAATTACATGTTGAGGGATACCCAAAAATACTCTCGATAAAATGGGTCTTGCTTACATTATCATAAACAATGAATAGGTCAACGAAAGGATGGTTATTACAACTAGGATAATCCCAATGCTTTCAATGTTCTTGCTAAGCCACAATGCAAAGAGTGAGTTTCTCACATCCCAAATAAGTAGCAGCTCATCAGCATGCAGAGTCTACGAAATAACCAAGCCAACTTATTTGATCTATACTATGCTTCTAGAGCCTAACTAGGCCATAAGGGTTGAGGGTGAATCACCGTATCCAAAATGACCGGCGGCTTATTCGCAATCAAGGCCTACAAGACGACATTAACAAAGTCACAAAAGGATGAATGGGATCAAAGGAGATCAACAAAGGAGAGGTAGAGTAATCTTAATTGGGTAAAGATAACTCGGTCAAGATACTACGGATCTGTCATGCCAAGCTTTTAGGATCCTAAGTCTATCTATTCGTGAAGGTAGTCAGCCCAACACAACCAAAGCCACCTTGTCAGCAATCCATGAATTACGTTGTCCAAGGGAATCTCAATAGCCTTAAGGTCAAAAGAAGTAAACTCTAAATCCTATGACCTTATAGAGGTAGAGCTCACAAAGGTGAGAATTAAACTAGCCAAATAAATGATAAGGATATCACCGTAAAGCAGAGAAGAAAAAGGTCCAACTATAAAGCTGAACACTCCCACAAAAGACTTATACCCCGTCTAGGTCAAGGAAGCCTCTAACACCTAAAGCGGGCTAGATGACCACATAACTATAAAACTTATGCTTAGTCTGTCGGGTTGAAGAATCATGGGGGCTTCTCCTTGGGACATGCAATATGATGTAATTATCTAAAGCCCTAAGCATCAAGAGTCTATTAGATATGATTTGGGTGATAGTCATGTCATGCAAACCATTTTAAGGCCATACGGAAAAGTAAAGTGCAAGTTTTAAATAGTTAAAATATTTTAATCATAAATTTTGATTTAGTCTTAATCTTTTATTAGGATTTTTATCAAAAAAGAATATTTTAGATCCTTAAAAAGCCTAAATTATATATCGTTGGGTTCCCAGACAATCCACAATCAAAGAAAGAGAAAATAACATCACGCTGCAAAATGTAAATCAAGTCAAATGAAAAAAAAAAAAGTTTGAATGCTGCTAGGTTGGCAATATATCCCAGAAAAGAAAAAGATCGCTGTATTTCTTCACATAGGCATACCTAAACCTAGATCTATACATCAATATCAAAATGTAGAATAAAGATAAGGGACACAAGAATCTACTCTTGGTCCCCACCATGTGGTTCAACACCTCAAGTGCCTCAGAATCCATGCCCGTATCATAGTTCTGCTGCAGACTCTGTCCTAGGACTCTAAAAAGTATGTAATAAAGTCTAAAAAAAGACCTGGCCATTGAAATAAGGGTTAGCAAGGGTTATATCATGCAACGTGACAAACCAAGTTCAATGGGAGGAGAGCTTAACAACATCTACAGAAAAGGCGTTAGCATAAATCATTATATCTCCTCCCTACTAAACATGGCTCGCTACAAGAAGACCGCCACTAATATGCTATTGTGCATGTCTCACACCCTGTAAACACACAAAGGCTGCACAAAAAAGGATGCTTAGCTAGGGCACAAAATAACAAGGAACAATAGTCATGCATCAAGAAGACTATAAAAGCCTTAGTCCTAACCTAACACACCATCTACCGGATAGCGTCTTAGTCACAAAATCTAAATGTGTGTGAATGGTGCAAGGTAATGTCTAGATGTATGACTTTAATGGAGTCTCCAACACCAGCCCCATCCGAAAGATTCAAATGATCTAAAATATATCACTAAGGAGAAAGACATTTTAAATAAGAGGCCTCACATATGGCCTAAATTTTATAATTTTAAAAGTATGGTGGATAATGCATAATAAAAATATCCATTTTTATATTTTAAAAAATAGGGCGTGAAATGCAAGTCCATAACATGCAATTGACATATTTTAGTGCCCTTGGAACCATAACATGTTTATACATAAGTTGGTCATAATATGAAAACTCGCATTGCTCACTGAGCTATACTTGTGGGTAATGCTCATTTTCATGTTGGTTTATATATTATGACTAATAAATGGGTCACTCATCTAACGAATCAGCTTGACATCTACATGGATTAAATGGTGTTCATACAAGATGCAAATATGAGATAGCATGTCGCAGTTACTCAAGCGAACATGTGTGACACACTAAAGGATTGGATACATTATGGATGTTCTAACAAGTGTGAACATTCACATTGCACCCCAAAGGGTGGATTAGCATGTTATGGTCACTCAAGCGAACATACGTAGTATCCCAAACCACACCCAAGTCCATATACCTAGACATGACTTGTAGTCTCGATGAGATTGCACCAAATGTGACAATCACATGCAAGAGACAAACAATGTGTTCTTATATATATGCTTGAACATACAAGACAATGCAACATGATAAGCAATCAAGAGTGGCTAACTAAAGGTATAACATCGGGCTGATCGATATCAGTCGACCGATCAAGTCATTTGGCAAAGGACGACTGACCGAGCCAGACGATATAGGGCGACCGGTTAAACTGGCCCAAAGTGTTCAGCTGAGTTGACCGATATCAGTCGACCAATCAAGGCATCCAACGAGAGACAACCAATCAGATTGAACAAAACCAGGTGGTCGTTCGAACCAGGCTAAAGCAGGCAGCCGAACGGTTGATCGCTCAAGGCGTCCAACGAGGTATAATCGGTCGGATTTGAAGATAATGGTTGCCACTCAAGCCGACCTAAATCAAATAGCCAAGCTGACCAATATCAATCAATCGATCATGGTGTCCGAAGAGGGACATTCGATCAGACCGAATGATATACGACTTAAATTCTTTTTTGTAGCTATCTCTTTTTACTCTAAAGATAATAGAATTGGAAGAAAATGTTCGATATTTCAAAACAAATATCGCACACTTCACTATAATATCAATAGATGAAGAGTTCGAACAATATTGATCATTTTGGTATTTTATAAACTCTGACAACTCAGATTTTATTTATTTAAGAGCAAAAAAAAATGGATTTTAGAGAAGTCTTAGAGGACTTTAATGGCAGTTTGTTTAGATAGTTGTGATTGGAGGGAATAAGAGTCTCCTTCTTTTAGCAATATAATAAGAATTAACATTTGAGTGAAGAAAATAGTTAAATTTTAAATATCTTATCACACACTGCGAGTATCTCATGGCAATTTCGTTCATCATTCCTTGTCAAAGGGGCAAAAATAAGTTCACATGATTAATAAGGATAATTTTGTATTAAAATGTGATCATATATGATTCATTAGAAATAACTTCTAACTTACTCATAATTATTGATTCCCTTCTTTTAAAGTTAGTTTTTTTCAAGTCATGCCTTGAAGATATTAAGGATTACTAAAACATTCTTGCAGCTTAGCATCTTCATCCATATAGTTTTATCTTCAGCAACAATGGCTTCGTAGCCTTTCTATAAATTCTAATTAAAAACTAATCCTCTTGCATTGAATGTAACTTTGGAAGGCTTAACCAAATGTTTTACAAATTGAACTGCCCCTTTAGATTGTTGGAAAAATAGGTACAAAGAATCAAAGTAAAATACAAGAGAACCACCTCCATTCAGCAGCACCTCACACACTCTCCAGAAATTTTAATTACAAAAATTGAATTAAATTTCTCCTTATCCATTGGCGGAAATAACTAAGCTCAAGAGATTGAATTTCAGCCAAATGGCGATGGAACCAGCCCTGGGGCAGAATCCGATCTCTTGATGTTTCCCATTCCACAAACTATGCATCCAGGTGCGGAGAGAGCAGAGAATTTTGCACCGCACAGGCTACAAATATCATGACCGATTGTTGGAAGACGGCTGAGTGTTGCGGCGCAGAATTGAGAGGGATCTTCCTGTGGATCAATGGATTTGTTTGAGAGCCCTCGTTGCACACACATGTCAATCAGGCTCTTAAGCTCGTCTTGCTTGCTTGGTGGAGCCTTCGAGAAGAGGAGATCGAGCAATTGCTTCGCGTAGGCATAGTTCTGCACTTCCATGTTTCGTTTGATGGCAGTTCTTATGCAGTTAATTCGATGTTTTGCGAGAAGAGGTAATGAGCCGAGATGACGAGATAGTCTTGCCATCTCCTCCTTTGCGCTGATCATGTTTGGACCGTGAACCTTTTGGAGGCGTGCAATTTCCTGAATTGATTGGAGTTGAAAGAAAAAATGGTCATTAAATTCAGGTAATGATTAAGGGATCATTAAATAACAAGTTAAGTTGGGCCATAACGCTTATTATTTGGTATAGTGGTTGAATGTATTATGTGATTTGGCACTTATCCAAGTTCAGAATCTAATATTCATTGTGGTTGTCATTTCTAGATAGTATTGTAAGCAAAGATCTTGGAAGTGTAAGCAAAGTCCTAGGATTAAATGCCCATTGCATCAAATTTGTAGTTCAGTGCTCAAATTTTCTCAAAAATGAAAGATAAGTTTAGCTGGACATAGAATTTGAAATGATAACCAGGTCCTTCAAGTGTTTACTGACCAGACTTTGGTGAGATACTACAAGCAGCTTCCTAATGGCTAGTTATGTAGATTGGAAATCTGACCCTAATTATTTAAGGCCTCACGTTGAAAGATTCAGACCACGACAAAATCTATCATTACAACAACAAGCCTTTATCCCACTAAGTGAAATCGGCAAATTATGCTATGATTTTGCAATTGAATACTGCTAGCATTTATTTGAATGAAACACCCAACAGCAAGTTTTAATTTTATTTCCTATTTTTTAGTTTTATTTTGTTTTGTTTAGGTTTTGATTTAAAACAAAATATGTTTGGCTATTTGATTAAAGCAGGATTATTTTTAAAAATACTCAAATTGCCTAAAACTTATTTTGAGTGTTCCAAAAACATGTTAATTTATTTTTTGATAATATCTGGAACCAATTTCCGCTACACAGTTGAGGCAAACATCCTCTGTGACAGCAGCAGGACTGCCATCTTCACTCGCATACGGTAATTCATGCCCACATGGCATTCGTAACGACGTCCTGCGCAATGACAATTGGGTAAATCTGTATCACTAGAATATTATATATTTCCACTTTATATAATATGCACTGTGTAAAAACTGTGGTGTGAGGTGATGAGGAAAAAGAAACTTCTCATTTCTCTAGTGTCTTTCTCCTACTTTTCTACATTTAAATATTCCTCCATTGTATTTCTTTTTGGTATCAGAGCAGTATGCTCAAGCTTTGATCCAATCCAAAAACACAAACACTCAGCTGGTGTTTTTTCTTCTTGAACTGGACAATGGCCACTACACAAACGTTAGACACAAGGTAACCCTTCTCTAGAAACTGTTCATACCGAAGCATCGCTCCCAACCTCAAATTTCTGATGAACAATATCAAGATTATTACTCACACACAATTATCAGCTGAGAACTATCCATTGTGGGAAGTCCAAGTTCTCAAAGAATTTTCAGAAAATGATTTTCTGGAATATCTAGATGACAGCAACCCATGCCCCACTCAAGGTCATTACTTCAGAAAATGACATCCCAACTCTCAATCATCTCTACAACATGTGGATTTTGGCGGATCAAAATCTAACGGCAGCACTATACTCGATCATCACACGGGCTATTCTCCCATACATTTTGCATCAATCCACAACAGTGGAAGTGTGGATTACCATTGCAAAGGGACTACAACCGGCCAACATATCTCGTCTGATCCAGCCAAAAATTAAGCTTACATAATCTATCCATAACACAATACTTAGCAACAATTAACACATTGGTGGATAACATATCAGTTGTCGAGGGTCAGCTGGATCAAGAAGAGAGTAATTCTATACACGCTCAATGGGATGTCAGCAAACTATCAGTTATTCAAAATAACAACTTGTCCCCAATTAGATCCTATGGATCTGGATGATTTCTGCTCACTGTTGTGTAGCGAATAGATCAATCAAGCAAATGACATACTCAATATGAAACAATTTCCCAACTCCCAATTGGCAACTGCGACTACCAGAAGTCGCAACTCCACCAGTTTTGGAGGTTGTGCTAGAAACAATAAGCAACACACACATATGAAAGGTAGCCACTGTCAATCCAAATCCTTAGTCATATGCCAAATCTATAACAAGATCGGACACTCAGCCACTACTTGTTGGCACCGCCAAAACATAGATTATGTGCGCCCTCAAACCGTGCCCTCCAAACCTCTACTTCCACCAGGGTACTTGACTCCAGCACCAGCTCATCTGACTTAAGACTTCAACTAACTGTAGGCAGCCACTCCCGTGACTGGAGCAGAGCATATGTTTGTGGGCAACGAGCAATCTGTCCCTAATCATAACATTGGTGACGGCATCCTTCCGACATAGGATCGCAAGCTTGTTCTTCCTCGATACATAAATTAACCATTGATAATAATCTTTCTATTCTCTTTAATTCCACTGGTTTCCACATCCATGATCCACAAACAAATCGCATAATACTTTGGTGCCGCAGTTCTAAACGGCTGTGTACCCAATTCACACCGTGGCTCCTACGAAATGTTTTGTCGCACCTCATAAAGCTCTTGCCACCTTCACCCAAGCATCTACCATATGGCACAACCCTCTTCCTCATCCTCATCAGGGCATACTTCACCATATTTCTATAGGTAATCCCTCTCTTGCAGTTCAAACAAAAATACCAATGTGTGAATGTAATTGCCACAAAATTCATAAATTACCACTTTCTTTATTTTTTTTTACATATGTATTTGTCTTTCCAACTTATACATTCCAATGTATGGGTTCATCCCCAATTCTATCTCATGAAGGTTATCTTTACTACGTTTTGTTTATTAATAGTTACTCCAATTTTTGTTGGCTATTCCCAATGCAAAATAAATCAAAAACAATCCAAAATGTATACCATTAAAAAACACAATTCACACACAATTCCAAGCTTCCATACAAAGGCTGTGATCGGATGATGGCAGTAAATACAAGAGCACCAGTCTCCGAGAAATTCTCTCACCGTGGCATTATACATTAATTCTCATGTCTTTACACCCCCTGAACAAAATGATGTTGTCGAGAGAAAGCACCGTCATCTAATCAAAACCACTCAGACTCTACTTCATGACACATCGGTTTCACTAAACTTTTGGGTAGAAGCTCTCCAAACAGCCCTTTACCAAATAAACCGAATGCCTTCCAAAACTAACCATTGCACTTCTCCATACTAACGGCTCTATAAACATCCACCAAGATACTCAATTAAAAGTAGTCAATTGTTGTTGCTATCCATGGTTTAAACCCATGACACCACACAAACTCGCACCTCGCTTGGCTCTATTAGTATTTCATGTATATTCCTTAGAACACAAATTTTAAATGTTACAACCATCATTATGTCATCATCACTATCTCTCATCACATGATAGCTGATGAAAACACCTTTCCTGTTGAAATCCACGATCATACAACCACCTACATCTCTTCACTCACCTTCCAATCCACTTCTCTTTGTACCACCCTCAATCAAGCTTACAACCCCGCCACAACGTAAGGATGATCAACCTTTACATACTTCCCCTAACACAAACCTTTCATCCCAAACAATGCCTTTACAACCGCTCACTTCTTCTCAGGATAACAACAACATCATATAATCATGTCAATACATACCACATCCAATGCAAATCAGAACAAAAACAGGAAAACTTAACCCATCTTCCCATACACAAGCTGTAAAATCACCGCACTAACGCAAGTCTATGAAATGATACTTGGGAATTAGTCACACCATCCCCAAATCATCTTGTTTTCGGCCGTCTTTGGGCCTATTGCACAAAATTTCACTCTGATGGTACACACTTGTTCATTACAACACGCTGGGATAGAAGAATCGATGAGTTTTTCTTCGGACAAAATCAAGCATTCTCAGTCAGCCATTAGCTCTGTCCTGAGAGTCTCTCCTTTCGGTAGATTGGTTGCTCAGGATATAAACACGTGTTTGGGATTTACTATTGTGAGACATTTAGCTCAATTGCTAAGATGGCACCTCTTCATACTCTCTTCACCATGACCTTCAATAAACATTGGCCACTCTTTCAATCTGACGTTGTGAATGCATTTTTACATCGTCAACTAGATGGCATCATGTATATGCAAAAAACACTTGGCTTCAAAGATCTCCAATTCTCAAACCATGCGTCATTATTTAAGAAAGCACTATATGGCCTCAAGCAGTCTCCCCGGCAATGGTTTACCACTATTTCAATCGTGGATTTCAAATCAGCACAGCAGACCCGTCCCTACTACTCTCTTCGATAAAAGAACAATAGATTTTCGTCTTACTTTATGTGAACGACAATGTGATCGCAGACGACAACACTAATGCTATTCAGAAATTCACTGATCAGCTAACCTCTACCTTTTAGATCAAACACCTTGGATAGGTCTCCAAATCCTGGGTATCCACGTTCACATTACGGATGACTACATGATCTAGAGTCACCAACAATACTTCAAACGCATCCTTCGGGAGACAGCAATGCACGATTCCAATCCGATCTATACTTCGTTACCGCCCAAGAGGTATGATCTCCCTGCCCAAGAAGATCCATTTGCTAACTCAACCGAATATCAACAGATTACTGGAGCTCTCCACTACTAGACAATAAAACGACTAGATATTACGTTTGTCATCAATCAACTCTGTCAGCATATGCCTCGCCCTTCAAAATACCATGACCAACTCCTCAAAAGGTTATTGAGCTACTTACAAGACACAATAAACTCAGGTCTTCGCATATCTCATGTTGCCCTCAACCTCCAGGCTTACTTCGATGTGAATTGGGCCGGGCATTCAACCGACCAAAATCCCATCACTAGTTTCAGCACCTTCTTGGGTGACAACTCTGTCTCATGGATAGTGATGAAGCAAACTACAGTGGTGCGCTCTTCAATTGAAGCCGAGTATCTAGCACTGGCCGTTGCAACTGTGGATATCATATGGCTCAGACGGCTAGTTGTTAAATTGGGCATTGAACAAGCGAAGCCAACCAACTTATTATGTGATAAGGTTTCTGCCATGGCCATTGCAAATAATCATGATTCCATGCCTGAAAAAACACAGAGGTTGACTATCATTTTATACGAGAACAAATCCAAGCAGATCACCTTCAACTACACTAAATTTACACCCAGGATCAACCGGCGGATACTATCACGAAGTCATTAACCAAACAACGCTTCAACTTATTCAAATCCAAGCTTCAAATGTTTAACAAGACCCATCAGCTTGCAGGGGGTAGTATCTGGAACCAATTTCGATTACACAATTGAAGCAAACATATTCTGTGACAGCAGCAGTCACTCGCACGTGTTATTCACACCCACATGGCATCTGTAACAACATCCTGTGCAATGGCAATTGGGTAACCTTGTACCACTAGATTCTAATGTATTTCCATTTTATATAATATGCGCAGTGTGTAAAAACCATGTGATATGAGGTGGTGAGGAAAAGGAAACCTCTCAAAAAAATAAAAAAAACCTTAAAATACACAAAACAAATATATATTTAAAAAGAAAGGAAAAAAAAATTGATCCCAAACAAGCCTTTAATTTCTGGTTCGAAGAGAGTTCAGCTAAGGATTGCTAATTTTTAGTAGCACTACGTAAATGAGAGCTCCTTGTAACATAAGACATCTAAGAAAATACCTGCAATAAGGCAACAGCAATCTTGTACTGGGCACATATGGTGGCTTGTGCTTTAATATCATCTCCTCGTGACTGATCCTGAGCAAGAGCCAGAAATGCTTCATCGAAACAAGACAAAGCATCAGAAAGCTGATTTTGCTCAAGATGAGCAAGCCCTGTTTTAAAACAAATGGCAGCAGGAGCACCCCGGGGAACCTATGTAAACAGTGGTATTTCATGAAAATATAATCAAGTGACTAATATTAATCAGTTTCTAGAAATCAAAAGTTGAAGAGTATAAAATTTTACATAGCCAGGAGCAACAGAAGTGGGAACTGCTGAAGGAGCAGGTGTTGGTTTTGTTGCAGCAGCTGCGGAGTTGGATCCTCCAACTTCAAGATAGCTTAGATCAATTGGCTGTGAGGGGACAGGAATGGGAGTGGGAGGAGCAATGGCAGGAGCCTGAGACTGTGGAGGTACTCCACCATCAGGAAGACCAATTGCCTCAAGAGGAACCCCAGTCTGTTGAATTACCTGTGGTGGCACGCCACCATCTGGGAAGCCAACATTTCCAATCATCTTCATATTAGGACTAAACCTGTTTCCTTCCATTGTTTGAGAGTTCTGTTCCATTTTAGATAAATATGTCCCAGCAGGGGGCAGCGAAGCAGCAACCTCAAATGAAGGAATGGTGTTTTTGAAGAAGTCCTCAGGAATAGGCCCAGCTGACACTCCCATGCCAGTAATCATAGGGTTTGTCTGTGTTGTAGTAGGTATAGATGTATCATTGCCAAACATATCAATAGCAGGACTTTCTGTGGCTTTAGTACTCATGGAAGATGTTTGTGCTGAAATTAATGGTATATCCTGAGATGCTCCTGATTTGGTCCACATTGGAGCATCGCCAAGTCTGAGTTGTTTAGTAGCTTCTTTGATTTTGTTAACATCCACAGTAGGGCCATCAATTGGCTTGTCTCGAATTCTTATCCTTATCTTTTTGTTTTTGGATGTTGCTTCATCCTCCTCACTGCTACTACCATCAACAGTACCATACAATGATTTCTTGAACTCCTCTTCTGCTTTTGCCTGCTCGTCTTTCAGAGTATTACCAGCCAATTGTTTGGTTAAGATATCCACTACAGGATTTGTTTTTGCAATTCCGTTCAAACTTTCCTTGTTAAAATTAGGTGGAAATTCAGAAGTTGAAGACATGTTTTCATTTCTAGATGCTGTGAACGCTTTAATCAAACTCTTTTCACTAACTTCTACAATATTTCCCTTTCCCCTAATTACACCGAGGTAAACACCAATCTGATCTGCTATAATGGCTGGTATACCACCTTCACTTGTCTTCATGTATGGCATGACCTCCCCAGCAAGCTCCCACTGGGGAATATCTTTCAGGCTGACGAGAGTCTTAATCTCCCAGTTTCCACCGCCCCATTCAGGACCTTTAGGAACCATACTTTCAGCAGCAAAATTAGCAAAAATACCCTGTCCCCATCCTGTTGAACGAACTCTCAATATTCGCTCGCAGTATCGTCTTAGATCTAAGTCAGTTGCAGCATCTTCTAGTCTCTGAGAAAGCTGCCGCAAGGCACTTGGATTTAAATGACATATGAAGAGATCAAGCATGCTCTCCAAGTCTGAAATGACCTCAAATGTTTCTTTGGCGCTATCAAACTGGCCATATCTGAAATAATGTAACAGTAAATAATTTGCAACATTTTACAAATAAGAAAGAAAATGCCAACAAGCTAATTATACAAAAATCAGACCTAAATGGCAAAGACACACGGCTTGGAGTCTTCTATGGGTAAACATTAAAGCAGTATCAAATATGGTCAGGTTGTACTGGATAAATATATTCATTACAAGATCTTATTTATATGTAAATGCAACAACATATATATGAGAAAGGATTAAGAGTTCAAATAGTTTTCAATAATGAAGATGTCAAACACAAATTTCATGAATCGAAAAGAAAAGCAGATCCAAGACCTGGTTATGTGGGATGCAGCATGCCATTTGTTGTAAAACAAAAAAATGGCGGCAAACAATGAAAGTTAATTCCAATCAAGAAAACAAGCAAAGAGTTAAAGTCTGAATTGATTATTATGAGCTATTTAGATTAAATAATGGACACTTAACATACAAATGGGGCACAAGAAGAAATCACATAAAATGCCACTGCAAATAAATATCAAAACATCCAAAAAAAAGTAACTTTATTAGATTAATCCTGGGATTTGAATTATTTGATGTAAATGTGCAAATTTGTAGAAGAAAACTCAATCTACTGGTAAAATAACTTACTTAATACATGCATATCCCAGCTGACGAAAGCGATGGAACAAATGAGAAGTAGGAGGACACTGTGGATAATCTCTTGAGCGTAGGTATTCATCTTTTAAGATTGATAAAGCAGTAGAAAAACGGAGGGCTTTGATTGCATAAATACAACGTAGTACCTAAGATTAATTGAAACAGTTCTAAGAACAGAATATAAACAAGGGAAAGAAATTAAAGGCATACTATGTTGGTTAATGCAAACCTGTGTAAAATGAGGGCATGCTTGGGATAAAGCTAAAGCAAGATCTCCACAAACTGGGGAACCACTAGCTAGTATATCCAGAGACCTTGGACTAATGCGTAGACTATCAAACCTTCACAAAAGAACAAAAGAAGAGAACTTTAGCAGCTGGAAAATGATATAACACAATTTTTTTTATAACTGCTTGGGTATTTAAATAACACCTATTCATTTTGATAATTGGTCTATAGGGTAAAAAAAAATCCTACATATGTATCCAGAAAAATGAAAGAACCTTGAGGTTATCTGGTATAACACCTCTGGAAGATCAATTTTCTGTTCAAAGTGTTGCTGCATTGTTGCAAACCCAATCAGAAGAGGTTCAAGCAGTCCAACAAGACAGCTTCTTATCTCAACTCCCTTCTTTTGTCGGGGATTTATTTCTGTTGGATTTACAAACATAAGGCGATCATTTAAGGCGCCAAGCAATGCTGCACCAGAAAAAGGGAAAATTTAGGAAAATTTTTGACAATAAGTCTAAAAGAAAAGATAAGTCAACATTAGGTATTTGAGCTAGTTGGTCCTGACATTAACATTCTCAAGTACAGGAAATAACAGAGAAAACTTATTAAAGAAAGAAGTAAAAGCACAAACCAGAATATGGCAGACACGTGGAAAGAATGGTCCGTATTTTGTTATCCCAACCAAGTACACTGACTGCAGTTGCACTTGAGAAGAGAAGGGCAGGCCCAGCCCACAGAAGCGATCGGAAGTTTGAAATGTTAAGTGAAAAATAAAAAAAAGATACATGAGCAAACAAAATGCAGTTTAATGTAGAGCTAAGTCCCATAATGAGAAAGGCAAAAAAGGATATAGATGGGTGTCCTCCATCAAGTTTGGTTTCACTGCTAGAAAGTATTTCTAAATCTGTCGAGCAAATCAATACCCTGTGGCTTGTAAGTATTCCAGCAACATGACCTCTGGGAGTCTCTTGCCAGTGAACCTAGAAAAAACAGCTGAAAAGGATGAGAAAATATACTATAGAAACTCTAAGCATACATTCAGACATTTAATGAGGCACCCTTAAAAAATTCAAAAATATAAAGTTTGCCAAAAAACTAGAGAAAATTGAAGTAATTTACAGAACGAAAAAATAAAAATAATAATCATGGGTAACATCGCCTTGTAGGAGCTAGACTCCGTATGAAAGAAACATACTGTATGCAAAGAGAAAAAGTAAGTGCCTGGATAACATGCTCATCCCTTTTCAGCTTAATAAACTTCTTCCCCTCAGTTCTCGTTGAAATATTCCGTCCATCATCAGTAGATAAACGATATGACTGAAGAAGCTTGGCCAGACCTACATGATCGCCAGATATTGAATACAGAATGGTTGACTCTGCAATAAGAAATTGGCGTTGTTAGCTATGAGGAAAAAAAAATTATATTTGCTATTGTAAGCATTGTTTAAGTTTTGTTTTGAGCAATAGAGAGATGTCTCACTCAACCTAGAGGAAATGAGAAGATGCGGTCTACTTCTGCATCAAAAATAAAATGCTGAGGTCCTTGATCCGATCCATGCTGACCATCTGAAGAGTTAACATCAACTGCACCGTTATTTTCACTAACTTCTTGAACGATAGGTCCTGCTAATGCGTACAAGGCAAGACCACTTCTGTCCTCGTCCAGAATAGCATACTGATTCTCGCTAGGACCCAAAAGTGCTGCATCTCGCCCTAAACTTGAAAACAACAGAATTTAGGTCAAGAAAAATTAGGTTTTAGAAGAGATGCAGGAAAAGAAAAAATGAAAAACCTTTTATTAAACTTCCTTTGTTATTTGATGACTGAATATCTGTCGGCTCCCAGTGAATAACGATTTCATGCAGGGAACCATTTGCACCAATCAATTCAAAGACAACAAAAAACAAGTGTTGCTTTGAACTGTAAAGCATGATCTTCGGAAGGCACTCTACATTTCCAGGAATCTGGACATTTACATGAAATTAAACCTCAGATGCCAGACATAGATCATAAAAAAGAGGGCAATACTAATACCGTTGAGTAAAGCTTTTTGCATAAATTTTCAGCTCCTGTAGAGAGATTATAAGCCATTAGATTGAATCCATCTAGATAAAATGCCTTGCTTGGATACTGTAAGACTCTATTCTCTTTGTTGAAGAAATTCAGCTCCAAATGGAAAGGCTAGAACAAAGATGGAGCAAGTTAAACAAGGACGAAATATTATTCAGTAACAATAGGAACCAAGAAAAAGGTTTCTGGGGATACCACACAAACAGGAACATCCTTCAGTAGGCTGTTTGCATCTGAGATCATTATGAGAGGCAACCGAGATATGGGACCGCTTTTTGCATGCCCCTCCATGAAATGCTGCAAGGAGATGTGTTATAAGATCAACAAAGTATTCCTTTCAGAAGATGCATGGTACCAAATATTTATCGCAATCGGGAAAATAACATTTAACAGGAATAAAATTGTAATACTGATATTTATTATTTAGGCTTTTCAATTTTATCTTTCTTACACAATAAGAAAACGTCCAAAACAAAGATAATAGTGAACAAATTAAGATTCAAGCTTCAGAATACCAAGTGACAGGTTTACTATTTCTAAAGACAAAATCCATCTAGGATAAGTCAATAAGCATTAAAACACAAATAATTGAGGCTAACTAAATCCAGAAGACGTTTACAATACTAAGAAAATGTTTCTTTTCCATAATATACTATTTTCTATATTCATTTCCCCTAAAAACATGTGATAGGAAAATGCTAAGAATGCTAGGCCTTGGCTTTGTTTGGGCTAGCAATAAACAATAAAAGTGTGAAAATAACTGTGCAGGTACCGTAGGGCTTCCCTAACACACTATAGCACCAGCTAAAGAAAAGAAGCTTTCCCTTCAATTGTATTTAAAAGCCAAAAAGTACAAGTGCTAAGATATTGTTTGGTTGGTGTAAGATGATGATAAACCTGTATTATTAATAGCAAAACAAAGAGATGTACTAGCCATCTGCATTACTTGCCTGTGGAGCGCATTCTGGTAGCAAAATGTGCATATAGTGCTGCCTCACTGTCGGCACAAAAAAGAAAGAAAGGTTGTTTGAGGGGTCGCCCGTAAGAAGCTGTCGGCAGCCGGAATTGAAATCTCATCGCCCACTTCGGAAGGACGTTTTAATTTACGTGTATATATATATATATATATAATCATTTGTAATTTTAGAAAAATATGAAATCAAACTGACCTCATATTTTTCGCAGTTTAAATGAAAGAACACTCTACCTCAAATCCTGTATCTATCCCGAGTGATAAACACAAGACTTGAGGATGAGACTCAATGAAATAAACTAGGAAAACATATGACATCCGTTTGGGTCTGCGAAACCGTTTTATTTGCCGACAAGTTCCCCTATTTAATACAAATGATTAGATAGGGTTTATTTTAAGCTGGGTTCGGAAAAGTTTCCTATAAGGGCAAGCCCCTATAGTTAATTACATCTTAAATGACCGAAGTCACCTAAGAAAACTATCGATAAAAATCAGGGAATAATGTCTTCAAAGAAGTCAAATGTATAGGACTTTACAACGAAATCGGACAAAGTGCTGTAAAGGGGGGAAAAGCTCAAATCTGCAACATCAAAGGCCAAGCCCCTATAGTTAATTACATCTTAAATGACCGAAGTCACCTAAGAAAACTATCGATAAAAATCAGAGAATAATGTCTTCAAAGAAGTCAAATGTATAGGACTTTACAACGAAATCGGACAAAGAGCTGTAAAGGGGGGAAAAGCTCAAATCTGGAACATTGTTAAAGAATCCAAATGAAGAGAAACTAGGGGAAGCCACAGATCCTGAGGCGAACCTCAGTAGGTTCCCAGTCTATCCTATGGTTTGGCTTCAACTTTAAGAAGAAATTATTATTTCATCCTGCCAATTTTATTTAATTAGGGCTTATATTTGCGTGACAGGGTCACACAAATTGCCTAGAAGATATGAGGGTTTACGTCGTATCGGACGACAACCTCGGAACCTAGAACGAGTTAGGGCTTAAATCGTTTAGCAGAGCTATACGAATGTCTAAAAAAAAGGTGGAAAATTTATGTCACGCTAGGCGAACAACCCCGAAATCCTATGGATCGTTGTTTAATTTCTAGGAAAAAGGGATGATTTTACTGGGGAAGACGCGTTATGCTGTTGAAGATGGTCGTGCTGCCCACCGTGCTAGCTCCAAGCTCATTGCCATGACGAGTTTAAGTTTTCTAGGGTGTCCAGTTATAGT